ATTCCTTTCTTATTAATGTATTATAACTTTGTTATTTTATTTCAATAATTTTGAAAAGCAGTTTATATTTAATTTGCTGGAGGCTTGATTAGGATATAACTTAAAGAAAATTATGAGCTAACTGTGGGCTTGCTGATATTAAAATATTCTTTTCAATGTTATTTTTACATAATCGTTCAGCTTCTGTTGTTATCAAAACGCCTTTGTTATAAGCATCATTTTCCCGTGCTATGACACTCGTATACCGACGGTCCAACTATTCTTCTTTTACTTTTTCATGCCTTCACGTTGTGTCTATGCGATTTTTAATTTACATTTTGCCAAATAGGCCTACTGTATTTTAAAATCCCTTTTGTTTGCTGTCTCCTATTTTCACGCAATTGGTTTGCCCTCCTATCGGTTGGCACTTATTCGCATTCTATGGATTATTCACATCCAGAAGCCAGTGCTGAAACAAAGGAAACATCGGGTATTAATCTTTCAACTAGTTCACTCAATGAAATGAGCTATAGAGTGATTTTATCTCCTTCGCAAGTCCCATTATACGAAACCTGCACTCAGTGTGGCCACCCGAACACAACTAAGAGCAATTGGTGTTCTATCTGTCATTTTTTTCTTGTCGGTTATGAATCTCCTATTAATACCCCTCGTGGATTCACTGACCCTCTACCGGTTTCTAAGCACCTAGAACGGGTCCAAGCACCCGTCCTTATTGAAGAAAAGAAATCGACATCATTTGACACTGTTGGCAGCCTCTCTGGTGACGATCCTGCATATAATCGACAAATTAGTGTAACAACTGACTCCAGATTTTCGGAGTGCCCTTATTTGTTTTCTCACTTCTATGCCCATACAACCCATTCGGATACCGACATAAAACGCCCCGAACCCAGCTTTGAAAAGAGAACGCAATTGGTTGCCGATTCTAGCTCACATACAAGTTATGGATGTTCTCCGATTTTTCAATTTGACGGATTTTCGAATTCTTTGCCTTCCACCTCTGACTCGCCACCAAACATCAGAGAGCTCATTGCTTCAGATTCATCAGCCCCCTTCCCTCCAAGATCTATTGAGCCATTTATTAGAGATCAAGATTTCCTTCCAAATGAATCCATGACTGGGATGGATGCACTACTTAGCATTCGCCAGAGATGTATTTCTGGTCCAATTGGTGACGGGCTCTGTACAGAATCTCCGTGTATTGTCTCCCAGTCTTTCGCAAATCTCTCCTTTTCTGCGCCTCAATTCATTGAATCTGATTATCAAAACTCTAAAAATATGATATGTTTACTCCAATTTGCAAAGCAACAAAATTATGCCAATTGTGACACCTCTAATTTTGTTTCTGACCATACATTTCCTCTGAATTCTAGTCCTGGAGTTTTTAGTAATCAATGTTCGGTTCAACCAAATTGCAATACATATTTTGTTAGTGAGAGAAATACTGTAGAAAAACCAATAAATAAAATGCCTTCCAAAGAAAATCTCCCGAATCATCGTGTTATGCCTAGGCGCAAGTACCCATCTGAGAATCTAGCTGTTCCTGCTCTAGCCCGCAAGCCTGAGTGTGCATTTTATTCAAAGGAGCGGAGTTTTCATAGGTCTGCCTCTGGATTCAGATCTGCTGGACTGCTACAACCATCTTTCCAAATGATGCCTCGAGACAATATAAATCAGCAGAATTCCAATAAATACAGCCGTCACTGGAATTCTGCGAGCACCGCATGGTCAGCTCACGATCCTGCTTCTTTGAACAAAAGGTACTCTAAATGAAATTACAATTTTATTGCCCTAAATTAATTTTTTAGGCCTGCGCCATCTGTTAAGACTTTCCACTCCAAGACTATTGTCCATCGGCCCATGGCAGCATCCAAGTTAGTTTATGTGCTCGCTAAAGACAGTTTCATTTTCGTGATTTGAATACCTAACTTGGCTTGACTCATTTTTACTCTAATTTTTTTAGTTTTGAGGAACAAAAAATGTCACATGAATTCAGCCAAAATTTCAAAGCACTTCCATCAGAAGCCTATGTATTTCATCGAAATTATCATCATCAAAAACCCTACACAGACCTCTCTGGATCATTATCCTCTGGGCGAGATTTGGATTTTAAGCGGAAAAACAAAGATTTAGAGAATTCTAATTGTATTTTAAGTAGTCAATACTGCGCTTCAGGTCCTGTGGCATACCCGAACAATTTCTCTCCTGGTATTGTGGTGCCGAGAACTCAGGACTCCCTTTCAGGACTCTTTGCGTCTGGCCATTTTCTTTCTGTGTTTAATCCTCGAGCGAATGCAAATGATCGTCGGTGTAATGTCAAGCGTAAACCTTCTCGTCGGCAGCTAAATCAGAGTCAAAATACAAAACCCCACAGCACAGACAATTCTTTTTATCGTTCGGGCTCAGATAATCATATTCATGATAAGGTATCATTAATTTACTCGCTTGGGCCTTTGATCTTATCTTGATCTAAGTTATGTTTTAGATTAAATGTTATATTTGAAGGTAGCGTGATATTAATGAGTTTTTATTTTTTTTTCGTTTACCAATTTCATTGCATTTCATATAGGCTCTCCATATATTGCCATACTTTTTATTTCTTTTGCAAATGCAACTGAAGGGGATTTGTGACTCGGTCTAATCTGTAATCGAAGGTAGGTTGTCATGGAGTTGCGACTGAAGTTTTGTGAGAAGAAATACTCGACGCATCGTCTTGCGTCGATAAATACCTACTGAGCTTTCATCTTTCATATGTCATGCAGTCAGTGTGAAACCGTTATTTATTAAATTC